ATGTAGGATCAAGTGCTGCTTTATTTACTTTCCTTGTTATATTTGGAGAGGAGCAGCAAACAATTAAAAAGAGCCAAAATCAGATGGCCACTGTTTTCCTCCAAACCCAGGTAAATTCTTGTTTTTAGCATCAGGCTTACTGAAATGTAATTTTCTTAAATTTTATCCTTTAACACTCTGTTAATTTCTTAAGCAAATATAACTAAATCCTAAAACCAGCCTTCTACTTAATGGAAAAAAATGAGAAGATAAATCAATTACAGGCATAAGAACTGGAAAATTTCTTTGCAGATACCATAGTATGATTGGGAAACCCCACAGAATCAATTATAAAACTACAGCATATAATAAACCGTACTGGAAGTAGCAGAATATAAAATTAACACGTGAAAATCAATGGCCTTTACACACCTATACAATAACCAGTTGGGGAATATAATGGTTGACAAAACCCCATTTACAATTAACAGCCATAAACACACAAAAAGATGTCTGACCCCACTCTAAAATGCAATGGAAAACTACACCAAGATACCATTCATCTCACTTTCAATCAGTAAAAATTAAAAATGTGCACATTCATACATTGCTAGCAGGAAGCCAAACTGGGTCACTCTCTTGGTGTAGAATTTGGCAATATCGAACACAACTTTAAATGCATTTCACTTTGACCCAGCAAACCCACTGCTAGGAATTTACCCTTAAGATATACCACCAGCAACACAATAATAGATCCACTAGATTATCCACTGTTTGTAACTACTGAACATTGGACACAACCTAGGAGCCAACACATACACTGGATAGGAGAGGGGCTGCATAAATGACGTTACACATACACTCGCAGTGAAGAACTGTGCAGCTACTAAAAACCATCAGGAAGTTTTCTACATGGAGGGACTGCCGGGATTTTTATACACTTTGCTTTTTTTAAGCTGTTACATGAAAAAAGCAATGTACACAAATATGTGTATAGTAAGTCACCTCTTGTGTAAAAAAAAAAAAATAGAATCGATGGGAAGAGAGGTGTAACTATCCTCGAGGGCACACATGATCTTCTCGCAGGGGTGTCCAACCTGCGGCCCGGGATGGCTACGAATGTGGCCCTACACAAAATTGTAAATTTATGTAAAACACCATGAGGATCTGCTTTGTGATCACGTGTCTCAATGTATTTAATGTGTGGCCCAGAGACACCAAAAGGTTGGACACACCTGTTAAAGGACAGTCCCTGCCTTGCTTCCTCCCACCTTCAGGTAATTTTCCTTACTTTCCCTCCTTAATTCCAAATGTATAAAAGAAACGGCAAAGCTGTCATTCTCTGGAACATCTGAGATCTTGTTTCATGCGTGTCATCGGTTTAGCTCCAATAAACTCATGAAATGCCCTGCAGGTTCGACATTCTTATGTCAACAACGTGAACTACCTCATATTGCCTAACTAGAACATCTATATTGATCTGCAGGCAAGGACAACTGCCAAAGAACGACGCCTCCCATTTTTTTCAGTGCCAAGAACCTTAAAGTGAGAATACAGAGATTTTTCTTAAAATATTTTGCTTGTTCTGTTAATCATACAGAATAACTGTAGGAAGAACTTAACCCGTGTGTCTTTTCCCTGTGCCAACTCTGCTTTATCCTTTTGCTATAGTAAGCTACAGTTGTCAGCACGGCTACGTGTTTCATCCTGTGAGTCCTGCTAAAGAATCACTGAACCCCGTGGTGGTTGTAGGAACCCTGACACAGAATGAAGTTCTATACTGGCTGCTTAAAAGGTTTAGTTTCACTATAAAATTAAGAATGCATTTTTCTCATTTTTAATAAAGTATGAAACAGAAAAAGAGGATATGCTCATAATCAGAATACCAGCATTTATTCAGTAGTATTATGGCATTTAGGTTTTTAAAAGTTTAATTTAATTACATGTTAACACACACCTAGCAATCACATTTCAAAATATACTAAGTTTTCCTAATAGTTGTTTTCTTATAAAACAAGAATGCCTTTCCTTACATAATAGCCATTGTGCTAAAATTGGGTATTATATAATAACACACCATTAATGTATCTAGTATAAAAAGGTAGAAGAAAAATTTAGAAACTCTCGAGTAGAAAAGAAAAAAAACCCCACCAAAGTACCTGTCAGTGTAATATGTGAACTGAACTGTTAAGAATTAATAACCTCAGAGCACAGCTACATTAAAAAAATATATATTTAGTTACTTTAGAGAGAGGGGAGGAGAGGGTGAAAGAAAGGCAGAGAAACATCTAGTGAGAGAGAAGGATCGACTGGTTGCCTCTCAGTTGCACCATGACCAGGGACTGGCTGCAACCCAGGCATGTTGCCCTGAGCAGGAACTGACCTGGTGGTAACCTTCTACTTCGCAGGCGGGTGCCCGACCAACTAAGCCTTGCTGGCCATGGCCATACCTACATTCTTAAACCGTGTTTGAAGAGCAGAACCATTCACGACTATTAAGTACAGTATCTGTTTACTTTTTGCTTTAGACTCTTTAGCATTATAATTTCCCCTGTGCTACTGTAAAAGTGATGCTGGTCCCCATAATAAACCTGACTTTAAAAGCTGTTTTACGGAGGAAGGAAACTGGTTGGACCTCTCTCAAGGTGTTTGAATTAATAAGGACTTCCTCACAAAGCTGAGCAATTCTGGCTTACTGATAAAAATGAACTGAATATTCTATGAATTTAAAATAGGCTGCTGCATGTCCCTTTCAAGAACTATTAGCATTGTTGCAAATACGTTCAGAAACACAGCAGATAGCAGTGAGGTAAGACACCTGGCTGCAAGAAAGCAAATGAAGTTAGCGACACCTCACTGACCCCTGATGTAATAATCTCTGGGAATGCCTGCTTTTGTGACTATGAATTGAACTGATCTTCTGAGCAATATAAAAATCTTTTATTTTTAAGTTATCAGCATTTTCAAATAGTAGCATATCACTGAAATCATGTTTCTTTGACATTTATAATGTTGAGAACATTTACAGACTATTTTTCTTTTCAGAAGTGTGTGTAAAAATAGTTTTTTGGCTCTTAGACTTGGTTACAATGTGCTGTAAAAATGATGTTCCCAGTGAAGTGGTAAGGGTCTACAAAGATCCATTCCACCACGTCACTGAACGTGTTCCAGGTACGGGGTTAACCAAGAAAGTTAACCGCATCTGGTCCTTAAGGGGTATCTTAAGTGTGGAAATAGTTAACCCTGGGTTTCTTAACCCAGACTGTTGTGTCTCTCTAAAACTCAAATTTTATTATGAGATCCTTCTGTTAAACAAAAACCAAACAAACTGAAAACCTTTAATATCTCTGTATCTTCAATGAAAGGACAAGTCCAGACCGTTAAGAACGTTATGCAAAGCCCTTCACAACGCGGTCCAAACCTGACCCACCTCCCACCTTTCCCAGGAGCCCCCAGGAAACCTGCTCTTCCGGGCCCTCCTGCTGCTCTGCCCAGCGCTCCCTCCACCGGCAGTGTCTCTCCTGCCCCCTTCCCATTCTCAGCTGCACTGCTGCTCCTTTTCCCAGTTCCGTCTTAATTGTCTCTTTCTCTGAGAAATCTTTTCCAGTGCTTCTAGGCAAACAGTTACCCCTTTCCTCAGGTTCCATAATGCTTCTCATTCAACTTTGATACATCTTTCCCCAGCAGTTAGCAGAGTACCTTACACGTAATACATGTTCAGTAAATGTATTTATTGACGTGGACTTAATGAAGACATACAGGCATTCAAAACCTAACAGGAGAGATACTCATTTCTAAAATCAATACAGATGAATTTTTCAAAACATGATTTAGCTACTGGGAATGTCTGAGTTCTTGATCAATCTCATTGTTCAACAATTTCAAGATACAACCTATTACAACTGAAAAGCCACCGAAGCTTCACTAGCACTGAAGATTTTATCTATCGCTCCCTTTAAGTTTCAAGACATCCTTCATCTGGTGCATGTACATTCTACTCTCGTCTTTACTCACAAGATCAGTGGCCCTCCTTTTTATCTGAGAGTAGAGCTTCAATTAATGTCAACCTGATTAATCAAAAGCTTTAGTTTCATTTACCCCCCTATTATGCTCTCTTTTAGGATGAGGTAAACAAGAAAAAAATCTGGAAAAATTTCAAACCTCTAAGCAAATACTAAGTATAACGTCTTACATCTCCAGAATCTGCAATACAACAGAAAGATTTCCCAGTGTGCTTTAGAAGACATTTTTCATAAGCAGGTCAAAGAAAAACTGTATTATAATATTCTGTATTCCACTGTTATTCATGTCATTTGAAATTAAAGAAAGAATAAACACATTTCCAATTAAGAACTTTAAAGCTGCCCTGGCTGGTATGGCTCAGTTGGCTGGGTGTCGTCTAGCAAACCACAAGGCTGCAGGTTCGATTCTTGGTCAGGGCACAGGCCTGCGTTGTGGGTTCCGTCCCAGTCAGGGTGCACAGGAAAGGTAGCCCGTCAATGTTTCTCTCACGTCATGTTTTACTTCCTTTTGTGCCTCCCTCCCTTCCCCTCTCTAAATCAATAAGCATGTCCTCAGATGAGAATTTAAGGAAAGAAAAAAAAGTGTGCCTTTGTTCACTGGTTGTGGGGGGAGTGGGGTAAAAAAAACCTTTAATCCTTTATATCACAGTTCTCGAGAATAGTATAAAGTCAGAGTCACACATTTAATTTTTTCATAGAACAACTTCAGGTAAATCTAGATATAAAAAATGACCATTAAAAAATACTTGATCATAAAAAAGTACCTTATGTCCTATCATTAGAGGAAAATATACTAAATACACGAAATGCTGGTTCCAGTATCACTACGCTTAACTCTTATTAAAAAGGTACATGAGTCCTTAATTCATAGATTAGACATTACTTTCAGAATGACTGAAGTCTTGCCAAGTGTTCATTCTCCCATGCACAAATGAGTCAGCTACTCTTCCAGGGCCTATGCCATGACCGTCTGTTAGCAACCCGTTGAGGGGCAGTTACCTTTATCAGAGTAGGTGTGTTCTAAGGCATGGAGATCAGGCAGGAGGTGAATACAGTTTATGCAGCAGTAGGTGAAGAAATCAAGGACAACCACTTTTCCACAGAGATCCTTGTAGACAGAAATAGGCCCTTCTGTGTTCAGCCATTCTAACCCTGAAACGTACACAAAACAAATGATCATAATTAAAGAAAAAGACAATATATCTAAAACTTTCCACCAAAATATGAACCACTTATTCCTAAGGAGAGAATGGGGGAGGGAGACGCTGGGGAATAAGATGGGAAAGAGGCTCCATTGAGGCAGTCTACATATATAGCAAGGAAAAGCTACCAAATTCTTTCAGAAATAGTATGATAGCCTGTGTGTGCAAGAAAATAAGATCAAAACATTTAGGTAAGGACAACAGGAAATACCAAATAATAAGAGGGCCTAAGCACACAATTAGGTACAAATAGGCTACTGAAAATGAAAGTCAACCCTATGAACAGCAAGACATGACTAAATACAAAAATGAACAAAGTGTTCAAATAAAAGGATAAACACACAAAATGCTTAAACCAATTTCACAGGAGCAGAAATGCTCTAGATCTGAATGAGACCTTAAATACAAAATATTTTAAATGCAAAGTTAAACCTCACTGTTATTACAGATTTCAAGGAAGCAACATTAATACTGACGAAGAGTGTGTTCCCTTCACTCCAGATTTTTTTTAAAAATCTCATTAATTGGTACTTTTGCAAAGCAGAATTTATAATTACTTGACCATTATTTACAGTTTTAACTATGTCCTATGAAGACAGATTTTGTTAAATGAACATTAAAAGTACAGCATCTTCGTGTAACTAACTTATGAAAACAAAGATAATGAGTTTATTGGTTATAAATAAATAAATAAATGCTGCTCCTAAAACTATTAATTGTACCTTTTTTAAAGTACAGTTGACACACAATATTTAATTATACCTTAAAGCAGGTATTTGGAAATATTTTACAGAAACTGAAAGCTAGAATTCGGGAGAACAAGTGCCCAGTAACAGCTAATGACTAATAACAGTGACTGGAGTTACTCAATTATAACAAAATTCTAAAAAAAGAAAAACCAAACTGCAAATCAAATTACTATTTTTTGCCCATCACTCCAACCTAGAGAGGTTTTAAGGTACAGCGAAATCTTAATTATCCATTTTAATAAGGTGTTAACTGTATGCCAGATCAACTGACCATATAAAACTTAAGTCATGTGTATTTTACATCCTAGTTGCAAATATTTATGAATCTATCTTTTAAATGTATTTTCTGTAAATAGTCAAGAGTGACTTAGACTGGGGGATAGGGAAAGTATTATTTATTACATGTCAGTTATTGCGCGAGGTGCCTCTCAGGCTTAATAATAAATTTTATAAAAACAATAATTACAATAAATGTAATGTTAAGAGATGCTAACATTTACTGAGCTCTCCTATGAACTAAGAACTTTAGATATACGTATTACTTTCAGTCCACATATTCAACATGAAAGGTAAATACTCATTCTGTTTTGTGAGAAGGTAGGCTTGGAGAAGTCAAGTAACTCGTCCAAAATCATGCAGCTAACAGATGGAGTAACGGAGATTTAATCCCAGGTCTGCCGGCCCACCCACCATACCACACTGTTTCCCATACACATGTGTTTCTTTCAAGACATGAACAAAACATACTGTTTTTGAGACAGAGTTATGTTTATGGCTTCTTGATTACAGCTTACTGATAAAGAAACCAAGAAAAAAAAACGCATCTCTAGTATTCTGTTCTCAGTTATATACCCTAGGTCCAGCAGAAAATTTGATTATGTCAAACATGACGCTTGAATATTTTCTTACGTTATTTGCCAGTCAGAGAGGTCAAATTTCATAGTATTAAAATACACTCATTGTAAATACACACAAGTCTAGAAAATAAAAGCACTGGCCTAAATCCCAGCTGATGGCCTGCCCTTTTGTAACAGTGTACTACATAACTAACTTCTCACCAAGTTTTTAAAAAATATGCACATATAGATATCATCTTTTAAAGCTTCTTTGACGGGATAAGCACTCATGTTCCCAATTCTTTTGTAAGAATTCCACCATATTTCAATTCCATTACAGGATGACTAATAGAAAAAGCAAGCACTTTTCAAGGTGGGCGCAAAAGGCTTGGAGAGACACACAAGACTGTTATCAGAGGTAAGGTTCCGATACACCTCCCTCCCGTGAGACACCGAACCCTGCCCCGTCCAACCAATTAACTATACATGTGGTTTCGGTGTCATGCCAGGAGTCATGCCAACACCACCAGGCGAAACGATGGCAGTCCCAACCAAAGAAGGTAAAGCAGGGTTTCACTTATCATAGCAAGATGTGCTTCACAAATAGCAGTGCTGGGACTACCAGCCCCTCGTGTTCCAAACACTCTTGGCGCTGGGATTCAAACCTGCGAGATGAGCCACATTTGATGCCGATTTTGAAAATTACACATTTCATGACTGGGAACGGAGAAGTGTGGCCCAGCGAAGAGACCAAGCCCATCCTGGGTCTTTATAATCCGATCCTGACAGATGCTGGTTGTGAGGCCCTCGTCAAATTAACTTAGCTTTCCTGCGCCTCAGTTTCTCTACTGTGAAAGAGGACTCATAAGAAGAACGCCCCCAGGGGTTGTAGAGAGGATTAAATAAGATAACACTCCTGAAGTGTTTAGAATTGTGTATCACGTAAGTGATTCCTACTTGCTAGCTAGTAGGATGCAGAAAGATGACGATGATGGAGACGACGAGCAACCAGAAGGAAAGGACAGGGTGGCACGGGCCAATCAATACCTATCGGGGCCACTAAACATTCATGGAACGTCTGGTTAGTTAACAACATCAAGTCCCGACAGGGCTCGGGGCTCAGGGCCAAATAGGCCCCCCGCCGCCCAGAAACCCTCGTCTGCCGCCGCTTCGGGACACCTGGGAAGGACAGAACCCCCGAGCCGCGGCTCCCACCCGGCAAAGTGCCCAGCACCACCCCGCCTTGCCCACCGCTTCAGGGGAGGGCGCCGTCCCCGAGGAAGGGGAGGTTCCGGAGGGGTCCCCACCCCGAAGCCAGCCCCTCACCTTCCGGAAACTCGGGCACTGACAAGTCCTGCTCCCAGCCGTCCACCTTCTGCAGATACTGGTAGACCAGGCTGTCCTTTTCCTCCGGGGTGACGGCATCGAGCAGGGCGTACTCCAGCGAAGTCTGAGCCGGGAGCAGGCCCGACAGGTTGCAGCTTCGGGCTCCGGGGGCCGCCATGTTGTCTCCGGACAGTCCGGAGGCGGCCGCCCGGCCTGCGGGCTACGCTCCTCCGGGGAGACGCAGCGCTTTCTAACCTTTGGTTTCAAATCGGCACATTCACCTCACACTCCACCAACCCCTTTAAAGACACTTTTTCTCTTTTGCAAGCGTGCATTCAAACGCTAAAGTTACTGCCGATCGCCGCCAATTCCCGGGCGCGTAATTAAATTACCGCCCCAAACCACCCCGCCCCTTCCAACCCCTGGCCACAGCGGAGCCAGGACTTTCAGAACGCCAGATTCAGCAGGAAAGGACCTCTGTTTAGCGTTCTAGAAGCTGTAAGAAAACCATTCCCCCCTCGTTTCTCTTTTCGGACAAAAAAAAATAAGACAAAATGAATCCGCAGGACTTAATCGGGTACAGATTTTTTTCCAGTTCTTTTTGAAGTTCGGCTCTTAGACCGGAATCAGCCGATTCGACACAGCTCTGGCAGCAGGAAGCAGTTCCCGCCAAGACTGGAAAGGTAACGGAGTAGGGTAAAAGCCTCAAGAGAAACGTTTTTAGAAGTTGGGGGTGACTGGCCAATGGCTTTGGTTTATACACAAGTTCAGTAATTTGTCGCCCTGCAGTGCTGAAAGTGCGGGAGCGAATAGAGTGTCAGCAGAGCAGGGGGACAGGGGACGCTGAGGGCTGCTCCTAGGGGTGCTGTTGGTGGCAGGTGTCCTGCGGCCAAGCTCCCTGGGGGCCCGGCTTCCGTCTTCAGAAAGGGAGGCTGTGATTGCTTTTATGGAGTGGAGTGTTCTAGCAGCTCAATCGCTTCCTGCCTTGGAGGGGGTAAGGCCCCCTCCTCTAGCCTTGCAGCCTCCAACGTGTAAAGAGAAAGCAGAGCCCGCGGGAGGCGACGGGCAGCCGAACCTTGGTGTCGATGCTGGTGGAGAGAGGACTGGCCACCTGCAGGGTGGGCCACCTCTGTTGTCTGGATTAGAAATGTGGCCTCAGGGCAGGCACGACTTAACATATTTGAATTTTGTTTATTGTGCAGTGTTTGTTCTTCGCTGCTGGAGGAAGATGGTGGATTGACCCAGGAAACTGAAGTTGTTGAATATCCGCGAGTCATAGATAAGGGCAATTATGTCTATTGGGCATCACAACACACCTGTTCGATTATATAGTGACTAGGGTTAATTAGCAAACTCAGGCAGCCTGAGTTTGAAACACCTGCTGAGCCAGTCACCCAGGGACTGTGGGTGGATTTGTGAGTTATTTGGACAGTTGGACAGTTGAAAGAGAACTGATAGGAGCTTTATAACAACTTTACAAAGCTCGTTCTAAAGACTCCCATTGGAGCTTACTTTTCAAACTATTACTGATACTTATTTTTATGAATCAAGTCCCGGAAAAGACACAGTAACTGGATAAAATAGTAGTCACAAAAATAGAAAACTTATCAGGTGCTACCCCTGTGGTAGATTCTGTTTAATTTTATTGTAGTAGGTGTTCTCAGGTCTAAGTTTTGTAGTTGCCAATATACATTACCAGACCTTTAGATTCTCATCAAGTTAGTGGGTATTTTGTTATTTTTTAACAGCAAAATAATTTAGAAATTTTGTAGCAAGAAATAGACTCAATTTACTTGAAATTAGTGCTTCTTTAATGATAAAAATCATTTTACCATGTTAGAAGACACCTTTTCAGAAGAAGATGTCTGGGAATACAAATCCAAAAGAAAACCAAAATCAGTCCGTACAAATAATTGCTCTGAGAGTGTTCCAAAATCTGTCAAAAAAGCAGCAGATGGAAAGGATCGCTCAAAACAAAAGAGAAAGAAAAGAACTGTGGAAGCTCAAGAGAAGGTGAAGGACCCTGAAATGTGCCTTGGAGAAACAAATAGTCAGATTTCTGCAGTTTCCAGTCAGAATTCCAGCTGTGAAGATGGTATCCAGCAGTCCCAAGACAAGGAGACCACCCCAGGAAAGCACAGTAGGTCTAGCAAAAAGAAACAAGCGTCTCCAAAGACACGTCCAGTTTACGATGGATACTGCCCCAACTGCCAGCTGCCTTTTTCCTCATTACTAGGTCAGACACCTCGATGGCATGTGTTTGAGTGTTTGGATTCTCCACCAGTCTCTAAAACAGGTAAGATTACAAAAAAGGTAGTGGTCTTTACATAGGCCAGCAGTAGGCCAGACATATCAGTCCAGTGAAACAGGCAAAGGAAGCAATCAACCGAAAGGGAGATGAGACACTCTGTGTACAAATGACTTAACCCTAGAGGCAAACAAGATAGTGTGTGTTTGCCCTGCTTGCACCTGGTGAAAAAAGATAACAGCCAACAGTCTAAATGCATTTTATTTCATAAAAGTCCCTAGCCATCTGAATTATTTTCCGTAAATGCTCATTAAACACGTATTGTGCTAGGTACGTTCACTTCGTTTACTTTCTTGGCTCTCACAACAACTGCACGAGGTTGGTGGCATGGACAGTTTCTAGATGAGAGCTCTTGAAAGTTAAACAACGTGTCCATTTTGTTATCTGTGATCAAACAGGTGTTTAGAGAATTATGAATATAACCCAGTCTCCTAAATGTGGTTATGTTGGGTGCACCAAACTAATGTCCAGGAGGAGGAACTGGGAAGGAGTGTCAGTTTATTAAGAGTCTAATAATGGAAATGTGCTAATTGGTAACTGAAGTAATGCTATGTTTTTATCTTTTAAAATATATAATAAATGTCATGTTTAAAATGTAGAAAATTTGGAGTATGTGGAGAATGGGTTGTGATTTGTGTATTTTACAGTTACATGTGTGCAGTACATAGATTTTTACATCTCACAGAATTAAAATTCAGTAAAGTAAAAATAATACTCAGTATGCCTTTTACATTAAATATGATACAGAAGACATTTTGTTTTTAGCTTCTGTCATTTTAAAGTTCTGCATGAAAACGCAAAAGACCTCTTAAAATTTGGCATTAGCCTTTCTCATAAAAGTATAGTGAGGGAAAGCCTCGTCAAATGTTACTAATTTGCTTTTAAGTGGCTTGAAAATCAGAAATGGAAGTTGGACTCCTATGACGTGCACTTCAGAGTGAAATGTCTTATAGATGAAACCACCTCAAAGAGATTTTTCTTTTTTTTTAAACTGTCTAAACTCTTTTGTATAGTCTCAGATTTGAACTCTGTCCTATAACAGATACTTTATGAGGCAATCTTAAGTTGTAAGCAATGAAGTCTTTTACTTTAATGTAACATTTGGGAGGCAGGGAAAAGAGACAAGAAGGGATCATTATTTTTGTAAACCAGAAAATAAACATACAAGGGCATAGGTGAAGGTAGTTTACAGAATGTTACTCAATCGTAATGATATAATGGGGAATGGTTTCCAGATTATTAAGGCCTTCTTATTAATTCCTGTATCAAATTGAATTTCAAATCTTAGAGCGGAATCTAAATTGTCCAGGGTATGAACAGCTATAAGTAATTACGAGTGTCATTATTGTTATTGTATACAGTGTGAATATTAAATAGTGGAATCTAATTTACTTCTATAATTGTCATAAATCTATGTTGCTCCATAAGAAAAACTGGGGTAGAACTTTAGTTCTGTGAGAGATCTATCAGTGTTTACTATTTATTGCCTAAGCGATAGTGAACGGGCGAAACTGCTGGCGTCAGTTTGTAGCATCCCTTTAAGAAAGACGTAATGTAAGCAGGGCATGGATTTTTGAAGCAGCTTACACTTGTGTGATTTAAAAAATAATAACTAGACTTTGCAAAAAGAGACTGGATTACGGTTGTTTTATCCTGGTCTTTTGACTCCCGTTAAGATAGCTGTTGTTCTGAGGCCTCTAAGTAGAGCTGATGATGGCTTTACACTTCCATGTTAATTTATAACCCTGGTACTGTCAAAACTTAGTCCGGACTTTGGTACTCTAACACTTCTTTTCTTTATTACAATTTTCAGAGTGTCCTGATGGTCTTCTGTGTACCTCAACCATTCCTTCTCATTACAAGAGATACACTCACCTCCTGCTAGCCCACAGCAGGGCTGGTAGCAGTCCCTTTCCGAGCCCATCACAGGGGTCACAGGGGTCAGGTGGTAGTTTCACTGAGGCTAATTCGGGCTTTCTTTGTAACCTGGAGGAAGGATGGTCTCCGTCTCAAAAACAAACTGAGAACTTAAAAAATGTTTCAGTTGATCCCTTGTCGGTGACACAGCATCTAAAAAAATCTCAGTCTCCAACTGAAACCAAGAAAAAGACTTCCTCTTCAACAAATTGCCAAACGTCCCAGCGAGCCCCACAATTCACACAGTGTGTTAAAAACGACAAACTGCTAGGAGTCGGTTTGTCTCTTGCTGGAGAATTCGATGGCCAGCCCACCTCAGCACGCACACATTTGCCACTGCCAGAAAATGACTTTGGCAGCTGTGAAATTTCCTACTCTCCACTTCAAAGTGATGAAGAAACTTATGATATGGACGAAAAGCTGGATGGTTCACAGCAGGAACTATATTTTACACAAAGCACTAAAGAGGGCAGCCTAGAGGAAGGTGCCAACAGCTGTACTTGGTTGAGAAACGTCCACTGTCCCTTACTGAGGGATCTGGAGGAGAGCAGCCCTGCAGTGCGTGGCATCTTAACCCAAGATAAATACAATGAAGAATTGTATAAATACGACACTCTGACCAATTCGTCTCAACTTTTCCAAAAGCAGAGCATTATTTGGGGTCACGCTCCAGCATATACTGATGATGGTTTCTTGTCGTTTCCACCTGCATTAGCCGCGGGGCTTGCTGCTTCTAGTTCTCAAGCCGCTAAAGCAAAACCTGAAGAGCCAGAACTTCACTCATCTCCATCAAATAAACAGAAACAGATCATTGAAGAATCAGCTGTTTACAATCAAATTTCTCTCCCATTACTTAAGAGTAAAATGTCAAAACCTTTGGAAAGCCAGAGAGGAAAGTGTCTTTCTTTCCATCCAACCCGAAGTCAAATTAGAGAATTATCAAGTAAGAGTTTCAGTGCTAAGAACACTACTAACTCAGCATGCTTCTGCAGAAAGGCATTCCATGGCATGCTAGATGGTCACACAGATGTTTTAAATACAGGAACATTTTCTAGTACACCTACTGCTGCCAAGTCTTTGAAAATGTTGCCATTGAGTCCCCAGTGCAATGCTGCAGACCCTTCTACCAAGGTAATGAAGCAAATGGATATAGGTGTGTATTT